AACAGGAGCGGGAAACACACATGCCAGCTCAAAGCTACCTTGGAGGCAGAGAAGCACACATGCCAGCTCAAAGCACCTTGGAGGCGGGAGAAGCAGCACAGTGTTCACTCAAAGGTACCTTGGAGGCAGAGAAGCAGCACAGTGCTCAGCTCAAAGGTACCTTGGAGGCAGAGAAGCAGCACAGTGCTCAGCTCAAAGCTCCCTTTGGAGGCAGAGAAGCAGCACAGTGCTAAAGCTCAAAGTACCTTGGAGGCAGAGAAGCAGCACAGTGCTCAGCTCAAAGCTACCTTGGAGGCAGAGAAGCAGAAACAGTGCTCAGCTCAAAGCTACCTTGGAGGCAGAGAAGCAGCACAGTGCTCAGCCCAAAGCTACCTTGGAGGCAGAGAAGCAGCACAGTGCTCAGCTCAAAGGTACCTTGGAGGCAGAGAAGCAGCACAGTGCTCAGCTCAAAGGTACCTTGGAGGCAGAGAAGCAGCACAGTGCTCAGCTCAAAGCAGAACTTCAACTGCTGAAAGAACAGGATAGCGAACTGAATAATGATTCGCTGGATGTTTACGTAACTTTACAGAAAGAGTTGTTGTTTGTTGAGGATCAGTTAGTTATCAAGAGCGAGGAGTGCGAGAGTCTGGCCGCTAACCTCACACATCTTAAAAGTCAGGTTAAGACCACGGAAAAGAATGCTGCAAAATATAAACGCCGTTTTAAAAAGGTTCATGAAATGGCCAGCAGTCTCATCAAAGAGAACGAGCTTCAAGCTGATCACATTAAGAGTCTTAAGAAAACAGTTAACTTCCAGCGACGAAAATACCTGAGTTTACACCAGGAAACCGAGGTTCTCAATGTTGTAAATAACAATCTCCGACCCCACTCTCTGACAACAACTCAAGTTCTGGAAGAAACCACTAAAGTGAACGTACAAGAGCAAGATAATCTCGAGGAGGAAGACGCAGCTGAGATAAAGCTTGATGATCTCAGGAGAAAGAAAAAGCAACTGAGGTCAAGCTTGATGATCTCAGGAGAAAGAAGAAAGTGAGAAGGTCAAGCTTGATGATCTCTGGGAGGAAGAAGGAACCGAGGTCAAGCTTGATGATGATCTCTGGGAGGAAGAAGGAACCGAGGTCAAGCTTGATCTCTGGGAGGAAGAAGGAGCCGAGGTCAAGCTTGATGATGATCTCTGGGAGGAAGAAGGAACCGAGGTCAAGCTTGATGATCTCAGGGAGAAAGAAGAAAGTGAGAAGGTCAAGCTTGATGATCTCTGGGAGGAACGAGGAGCAACGACTGAGGAGCAGCAGCTTGATGTACTTACCGCTTATAAACGTAAAATGTTAATCCACATGATCGAACATGAGAAGAAACGTAAGAAGATGGAAGAACATAAGATGGAAGAACATAAGATGGAAGAACATAAGATGGAAGAACATAAGATGGAAGAACATAAGAAGACGGAAGAACATAAGAAGACGGTACATATCTTATGCGTTATGATCTTCATCTCAGCTGTTTTTAGTCTTCTCTGCCGCTCAAGGAAGGTTCCTTGATGTTGGTTAAGGGCTCTTGATTTAGGGAATTGGATCTGTGCTCCAGTTCCCCGAATTAAGCCTGAATGCCTTCCACATCCCCCCCCCCAGGCGCTGTATAATCCTACGGGTTTAGCGCTACCCCTTGATTATAATAATAATAATACTCTTCTCTGTATTGTGACTAGTTTCTTCCCTTACAAGCAACGTAACTGGCCCCTGAGAACCCGAACTGGCCCCTGAGAACCCGAACTGGCCCCTGGGAACCTACCTGGCCTCTGGGAAATATAGGGGTCCCATGGGATATTATAGGGGTCAGTGGGTACCCCTGGGAAGTATTATTAGGGGTCAGTGTTACCCCTGGGTAGCATCAGGGGTCCCTCACTATTTAATGTATATTTTTATTTTTTAATTTAACCAGGCGGAAGAATGTAACCCACAGAGTCAGGACTGACTTCTTGTATCGCCTCTGCAAGGACATTGAAGACGAGGAGATATGTTCAGGACATATATAATACCCTGGCAAAATAGTGTTAGACCCACACACTGGGTGTATAAACAGGCGAATCAGTCATAATTACACAAAAAATATCTATATATTATATTAATTCGCCTTATTACTCGCATTCTAGTGTTCGACGTGTCCCGTAGCTCGGTTGGTAGCGCACTCAGCTCACACATTGATTGTCCGTGGTTTGATCTCCGGTATGGGTGGAAACATGAGGAATGTTTCCTTAAGACATCTGCTGCTCCTGTTTACTTAGCAGTAAATGGGTACGTAGGTGTTAGTCGACCGGTGTGGGTCGCATCCTGTGGACAAAACTTAATTTGCCCAAATGCTTTCATAACCAGGATCTTTCTATATAGCATGTCATTGATGTCATTGGTCGGCTGGTGTGGTAGGACTGACCCCGTGGTCTGACAGCTCATAGCTTTGTGAGAAGTGTGGTATGACTGTGGTGGAGAGTGACACGTCTTTCCCCACCACATACTGTGGAAATATTAGACAAGGAGTGAAACACGTGCCTGTGGGGAGGTGGGGTGTTGCAGGATGTGCACGGTAGCAGGAGGGTGATGTGCTGGGAGGATGGAAGCTGTGGGGAGAGTTGGGGGTTGTTTAGCCGGGAGGAAGGGAGGTGAGGTGTGTGGGTGTTACTGACCAGGGGTTAAGGGACAGTGTACCTCCGTTGATACCGGATGGGTTCATAACCCAGAGGTACCGGGTTCAATCGTCTGGGTCGTGTAAACATGGGTGTGTTTTTTGCTTACACACCCGTTGCTCCTCCCACCTAGCGCAGGAAGTATAGGTGCATGTGGGTTTTAGGCGACCGTTGTGAAAGTTAAGGATTCCTAACTTTGACAAGCTAACAGCTGTTACCTACATCAGCTCATTTGAAAGCATTTTTATTGTTATGATACATACAAGTAGGGAACAAGATGAAGTTGGAGCTACCTGTGGGCCAGCATTTTCATCTGATCAAATGACTTTATCTCGCTGACATCATTATGCTGTACGAATGGGTTCCAGACTCGTGTCATCCTGGGGATAAATGATCTCAGATGAAGTGATGTTCTGGAGAAGGGTACAGCCAGAGTGAAGTTGCTGCTTTCTGCCCGTCTTGTGGTATAGAAGCTTGCTTCATGCTGTCTCTCTCTCTCTCTTTTTACTCCCTCACACTTTCCCTTTCATTCCTCTCTCATATTTCTTCCTTACCCTCCTCCCTCTCCCTCACTTTCCTCGCTTATCCCCAACATTCCCTCCCTCACAAACATTATCTTTCCTACAAAGTAGATAATCACTAAATAGTGCCTCTCCCCTCCCCATCCCCACCTAATTCCGACCCACACCTTTTCCATTTCACCCGCACTCGTAAGACTTGAATTTCCCATGAAAATACCAGGTAAAGACACCATTAATTGCCCCTCCTTCCATAACTGTCTTGTCTCCCCACCAAAAGCTGACGGTCCCGGGGCGTCCTTGAAAAATAAAGACAAAAGCTTCATAGGAAAGGCCAGGTCGGGGAGTCGAAGTCGAGGGCAAATAAAACGCGAAGTTTTCACTTAAGACATTTTAAATTGCATATAATAATGACAATGTCAACTTTGGGTTGCCCGGGGGATTTTCATTACCCCAGGATTGTAGACTTTTAGTGCCGTCTCAGAGGAGCCCCTAGGGACAATAGGAGCACCTGGGGGATTTTAGAGGAGCATCTAGGGAGTCATGGGAACAAATAGGATTTTAAAACAGGACCCCCCTGGGGGATCCTGTGAAAGCCACATTACTAGGCTCCACACTTGCTCTCTCGTTCTGTTGCTAGCGCCACATCCCAACAAAAAGGTCCGGGTTCGACCCGGAGGGTTTAAAAACATTCAGACGTGTTATCCCCTAGCATAAAATATGTACCTGGGATTTGCCGACTGGGTTGGGTAGCATCCTGGGGGACAAAATTAACAAAATTTTCCCTTTCCTAACAAAGGGTTTCTATAACAGTCATGGGGGTCACATGGTTGTATAAGTTGATCATGTACTAGTCAAATAAATATTTTTAATAAAGTTTAAGAAAATCCGGCTGACAAGAGGACAGCTTCTTTTGGTTTTTTAACTCCCATCGGGTTTAGAGCTTTTTTTTTCGAACTATAACTCTTTTTAAGGGATCAAAAGTCTCGGAACGTAAAATACCCCATAGCTGGAAAAATTCGGGAAACCTGCTCCACACTTTTTGGAGACGAAACTTTAGGGGGACGTTTGGGGCAAAAATGGAATTACAGTTTCTTGCATGTCCCCGGGTACAGAATTAGCTCTTAAATGATTATTTTATTGCTCATATAATTTTTCACATGTTTATTGTGATTTTTCAGCGTTTGTCAGGTAGGTGTGAGATCGTGTGTAGGGAGGTATGGACGTGTATTTAAACACGTCAGCGCTGGGAGCTCGTACTTGGGGTGTTGACTGACAACACCTGTGGTAACGGGTTTCTTTATTGCGGAAACTTTTCCCACCACACAGTGGTTTCCCAAAACACCGAGAAGAATGGTGAAGGATCAGGAGGAGTTTGAGGTAATCAGCCCCTCACCTGGAGGCAATGTAATCAGTCTGGGGTACTCCAGGCTGAGGGACTGAGTACATCAACATCCAAGAACACTTGTGCAACACCCAAGCGTTGTACAGGTGTTTCATTCATCAACATTTTGAGCTTGATGATGTCGGGGGTTATCCATGATTTTCATTGGTTGTTTTCACTGTGGAAGTCTCTTTCATTTTGGAGTTAGTTCTCTTATAAGCGAATTCTAGTCGATTAACAACCCCGCTAGGTCTCTTTAACAGGCCTCTAAACACCCCCCCATCGGCCCCTTAATTGTAGCCTTGGGTCCCTTAAGAGGCACTTCCGAGCCTTAACGGGCCCCATCATAGGTAACTCAAGCCTCGTGTGTCCCTTTACCCCCTCCCAGGATAATTAAACTTGCAAGGAAAACAAACATTTAGCTTTGTGGGCGTGTGTGAGGGGGGGTTGTGAGTCCCTACTGGCTGTCTCTCCTTACCGTCTCTCATGCTGGAGACAACTTTGATGCTCCGACACCACCGTGGGTGTATGAGGGGGAGGGGGATCTTCCCGTGGGTGAAATGAGACGGAGTGGATCTTCACCGTGGGTGTATGAGGCGGAGCGAGATCTTCACCGTGGGTGTATGAGGCGGATGGGATCTTCACCGTGGGTGTATGAGGCGGAGTGGGAGCTTCACCGTGGGTGTATAATGTTAAAATGCCAGACCATAGAACGGTACTGCACAAACCATCTAGCCAGATGGTCAACAAATACTAGAACATAGCAAGTCCTAAGTGACTTGCAGACCCACAAAACTTACTCCAACTCAATCTTCCAGCTCTTTAATTTCTGAGAAAGCTTGTTATCTAGAATTAATCCTAGAGAGTTACTTTCCTCCTCTGACAATGGCAACCAAACTTGACATACTTAGGACAAGAGATCAGGAAACCAATAAGTGTCTTTTTTGTCCTCTTAGGAGTTCTAAATTAGACTCCTGGTTGGGGCCCGGGAAAGTTATCTGAATGAGTTTTTCTCTACAGCTGCGTCCCTGAGGGAACACTAACGCATCCCGTGAATGACGGGTTTGCACCCGGTACAACACATCATTTTGCATCTCTGACTCATCATCAACATTCAAGGTTGACTTAAAGTTCGAAAATTTACCTCTTTCCAGGTATTGAATTACTCCCATTTATAATATTGCCATTGATGTACCTTTTAAATTTCCACTAGCTAGTGACTCCATATTTGCATCTTCATTAAATGTTACTTCTTTCCTACTCGAGGTATCAACACATGGTGGGACACTCCAGGCTTATGCAAGATTAAGCAAGAGTGAGCTGAGCTGAAAGCTCATGGCCCCTGAGTAGACATCCCAAGTTAACAAGTTTTATGAATACAAAAAAACAATGGCCCGTGGTCTGTTGCTACTTTAAATGGCGCTGAAACACGCAAGGCTCAAAATACCTCACAGTGGGAAAACCCCAGTGAGGGTGTCCGGAAAAATATATCAATCGAATTAATAAGTATAGGCAGTTTGAGGGTATTACTGGAGATCCCATATCACTGATAACACACTCGGCCTGACTGTTCACAGACCGGGCTGCGATAAGCCGAGGACAGTCTTCACTGTTCCTTGGGCCGAATTTCCCGTACTAAAATAACGCTATATATATTTAAATAAATTAAAATTGGTCACCTTTGTTGCATATCTACAGACTCTGGTAGTTAATGCTATTGCAGTAATTATAGAGCTGTTGTGTAGTTGACAGTGATGTGGTAGCTAATAAAATGCTGTAGTGGCCAATAAAATGCTGTGGTAGGGCATTGGTTGCTAATATAATGCCATGGTAGTGTGGGTTAACGTGACAGTGGAGTTTCGTTGCAGATTAACAAATGATAATTTCCGAGTCATCTCAATCTGTCGTTACATTTCTCTTCTTAAACAGATAATTCTGTAAAGCCTTTACTGGTACAAGGTTTTGCCCACGAGTGAGCTTTACCAAGCACACAGTAACAAGGAAAAAATGACAGCTAGTACAGGTCATCCGGAGCTGGTGATCAGAGGTAAATAAGCAAAAATCTTTCTTCTGGAGACGTTTCGTCCCACCTGCGGCTTTATCAGTCCAATACAGAGAAATACTGGAGAAGGTGGAAGACGTGAAGAGGAAATTTGAGGTGATCAGTCCCTCGGTCTTAATAGGCGTTTTCGTCCCTCAGTCTTGATGAATCTATGACGAGGTATACTGATGATGCTTAAAACATGTGCTGTATAGCCCTTGTGGCTTAGCGCTTCTTTTTGATTATAATAATAATTAAAAACATGTGCAGTATCTGCTTATCTCTGTAGATGTTTCGCCATCTAGTAGC